CAACCTTTCATCAGGTGAGTTAGCTGTGTCCTCTCCATCCTATATTTATTTATTTAATCCAAGCTAAATGCTTTTTCCTAAAAACATAACTTACTTATAAATAACTGTACTTATAAATAACTGTAACTGTGTAACTTGGAAATTATATTTAGATAAATATAGGATATGGCCTTTAAAAAATTTCAACAAAAGGTTTTATTTTGTAATGTTGTGTAGAGTGAAAACGGGAAAAACTCGTCATAGCTATTCGTTCAAGTATTGACTTTTATTTTAGCTATGGATTCCTTATTGGGAGTTATTTAGAATTGAGGATAAATGTCTTTAACTAAAGACAAATTTCAAAATAACAATTATTCATTCAATAGTTCATTGAAGGTAGGCCTACATGATTCGTTTTAAATTTGTCATATGTCATTTAATAATCAATAAAATTAAAGCCAAACATTTACTGAGTACTTTGATACCAGAATGAACTTGTTAACATATTAACAACCCGAGATATAAATCTTTTAACAAAAACTGACAAAAAAAGTTTAATTTAATTTTGTGTTGGGGTTTGTACCTCGTCTATAACTAGTCTGTTTTAACTATAAATAAAACAGAATGAAAGCTAACTAAAATGAAAGATCTTTTATCACTGAATATTTTAAGGCTAGAACGAACTGCAAGCAATAATAATACCTGGAGAAAAATAATCCAAACACATTTTCAAAGTAACTTACGATACGTCCATAACTGATGTATAGGGGAGAGTTTTCGTTTTAATATATCTTAAGCAACGAAAAAACTTATTTATTTAAAAACGGATTTCAGCATTGAAATCAGTGTGGAAATCTAGTTCATAATGATGTGTCACAACACTATAATTACATTAAAAAATATTTATATCCAATATGGCAGATCCAATATGGCTGATCCAAGATGGCGGCCCAAAAAGCGTTCCCTATTGAAATTAAGTACGGACTATCCAATAAATATCGGTCGTGGTTCCAAGTCAATATCTCGAAAAATGTGCAAAAAAACATGTAGTATATTTTGTTGCAAAATTTGTCCAATATTGGGAAAAGCCGCCATTTTTTCCTTAATTTAGGGGTTTCCCGTGGACTGATTTTTGCAACTTTTGGTATGTCACTCTGCACACCACAACAATAAAAATAAAACCATAAAATGTTTACTTGCAAATTTTTATATGATTCCTGTGTCTGGTTTTTTTTAGTTTGCTTGGACTATTACATTAATTTATAACAAATATTTTTTTTAACGTTTTATTATTTCTACGGGGTTTATTTTTTCTTGCAGGTACATGCATTTGGTATCATTTTAAAGGTAATTTCAGGAGGAACATTAAATGTATTGACGACTTTTCACCAATATTGACTGGAAAGTCAGAATTTCAATAAAAAGCAAAAAACTACTGGATTTGGCCGCCATTTTGGATAAATGGTGGTGTTCCACCAAAGATATTTTTGGAGACTTTTGATATGTTATTTACAATACTTTTCACTATCGAACAACAATGGTTTCATCTGTGTTCTAATTATTTCTAGGTCAAACCACATATTCAGGGGCCCAGTAGACAACCTCTCACACAAGTCATTATTGTCAGCAAAGAATACTAAAAAATATGTTGTTTAAGTGTAATATATTATGGTACTTTTCCCAAAATAACTCTTAAATACTATTTATGGCTCACCACTCATCGATATTTAAATAAAAACTTGGTCATCAGGACTGTTTCCTCCCATTAATCTACAAGGGCAAATTAGGTTTTTGTTGAGCTTCTCTCTTGTAGACGGGTAGATTTAGCCCGAAAAAGCCTCCAAGATAGAACAAATTCCAACAAAAGGTTTTTAAACGATTTTTGGTAGTAACAGGTGTAGTAAGTACCAGGGAAAAAGTCTACCAAAATCGGATAACCGAAAGTCGGGTTTTTCCAAGATGGCAGCCGTGAGGCCCCTCAAATCTACAAGATGACTGCAAATTCGTGGATTTATAGTTCAAGATTGGCCGATTTGTAAACACGTCATGTAGAACTATATTTCCAACCTTGAATATGAAAACCAGGCATACAACGTAACCCAAAGATGGATTTTGGGGGTATTATGTGCTAAAAACTGAGGTTTTATACCTAAAATATAAGTTTTTTAAATATGTTGTACAAAGTTTATTATAATTTCAATTTTTTCACCATTGGATTCCGCACAAAAAAAAACAAACAATTTAGTATATTGAGTCTTTGTTCTGTTCCAATTTGTTACAGATATATTGATATATTAAAAGTAATAACTTTAGTACGTTTTCTTGCTGAGATAAACTCAATGTTAATCTTATGGAGAATATATTTCAAAACTGATTTCGGCAATGGAATGGGTGTGAAAATCTAGTTTAAAATAATGTGTCACAACATTGCCATTACATAAAAAAATATGGCCGATCCAAGATGGCGGCCGAAAACACGTTCCCTATCGAAATGACACTGTCATTACATAAAAAAAATGTATATCCAATAAGGAGGATCCAAAATGGCAGCCGAAAACACGTCCCCTATCGAAATGAAGAAATAACCACCCAATAAATATCGGTGGTGGTCTGAAGTCGATTTAAATAAAAATGCATGTGGGTATCTTTTTTCAAAATGTTTCCAATGTTGAGAAAATCCGCCATATTAAATCCTGATTCTACTAAAAAAAAAAATTTTTGGCAACTTGTATTATGTTACTCTGCACACCCAAAACTATAACATAAAACCATAAAACGTTTTCTTGCAATTTGTTTAAGGTTATATTCTATATTTCTCCGACTAATAAGAATTTTTTTGTTTGCTTATTCTCTTTATGATTAAAATTGAGGAACCAAATACCTGTACGTAGGTTTGTTGCAATGGTAACTGCCAAAAAAGGAATTTTTAGTTAACAAATATTAAAACAGATCATATGAAGCAGAACACAAAGTCTTATCCTTATAGGTTTACTGAAAATTAATATTAATATTTATGCGTATTCTCCATAAGATAAACATTGAGTTTATCTCGGCAAGAAAACATACTAAAATCATTACTTTCAATATCTCTGTAACAAATTGAAGCAGAGCAAAGACAAAATATACTAAATTGTTAGGTTTTTTGTGATGAATCTAATGGCGAAAATACATTTGAAATTATAGTAAACTTTGTACAAAATATTTGAAAAACCTATTTTTGAGGTAAACCCCTTATTTTTTAGCACGCAACACCCTGAAAATCCATCTTTGGGTTACGTTGTCTACCTAGTTTTCATTTTCAAGGTTGGAAATATAGTTCTACATGTGTTTGCCAATTTTGGTGGAAATCGGCCAATCCTGAACTATAAATCCACGAATTTGCAGTAATCTTGTAGATTTGAGGGCCCCACGGTGGCCATCTTGGATAAACCCGACTTTCGGTTGTCCGATTTTGGTAGACTTTTTCCCTGGTACTTACTACACCTGTTACTACCAAAAACCGTTGAAAACCATTTATTGGAATTTGTTCTATCTCAAGTGCATATTATCTACCCGATTATTGGCCAAACGAGCTAGCTAAAATCTGAGACCTTAGCTGTGTTTGTTGTTTCATTCACAACAATTAGGCTATAACCAGTTCCAATGCCTATATTAAGTAGCAAAAATGATGTGAAGGAAATTGACACTTCTGCAAAGAATGAATAAAGTTCTGTCGTGACTTTGAATTAGAGTTAATAATTGCACACATTTGAACAAACTCTTTTATTGAATGTAATCTTTACAAACTGCAAATTGAAAAGGTAAACATTGTTTTATAATTAATGACAACAGCTGATCATATACAGTATAAATAATACTACAAGTTCTGTGATGAGATTTCTGTGAGAAGAAATCAACCCCTATTGAAATCCAGTGTCAGTCTTGTATGTGTTAACAAGAAAGTGTTTAGATGTAGAAAATATGCTTATGGGGAGTATGCAGAAGGCTGTAAACAAATGAATAATGTAGCTGGCAAAGGGCATTCATCAGTTTCCAATAAGGCAGTGATTAAACTTGAAGAAACTGCATTTGCTAATCAGCATGTTTAACTCTACTTGGGTTTATTTTACCATCCTAAATAGTCTGCATTTCACATTCAAAATCCCTCTAATGTTGATCTCTGCTGAAAAAAGACTGATAACCCGGCATACATCATGCAAAACATTATCATTGTACACACTTATATAACTTATTGGTGGGGCAAGAGGGAAGGTGCAGGAGGGTTGTTTAAAACTAACTTTTCCGATGCATATTTGATCATTTCTCCCCTACGACGATAGCGGAATCTGCAAAAACTATATACTTGAGATTTGCATCGCGACCAGCCTCCATGATGTGGTGAGGAATTTTAAAACTCAAAAATTGATTTTCCTAGAAAGAGAAAGCTGTGAAAACTAGAATTATGTGATTGTCTGGGAATGGAATGTCTGAAAATTTCGGTGAAGGCTTGCTCCTCCAAATTCCTATCATTTCATGATTTAATTTTGAAATATTCTTTTGGTTTGGATCTAGATTACTTTGTTCTATTTCCTAATATTTTATCAAGTACCTATTTGACTAATCATAGGGGTTGTCACCTTAGACCATGAAATATAATCATGGAACACGATTCATACTTATCAGGATGGCCAATTTATCTTCTTGTCTTTCTTGGCTACTATGACCAAAAATCACATATACAGGAGGTGGAAACCTACTAGAATATTAGTGGATGAAGTAAAGTGCAACACAGGGCTCACATTTAAACTAGCTTAACCGTGACAGGAGCCTGGTGGAGACCTTAATTTACTGACTTCCCTCATATTAAACCAATCTGTTATCTTCTCACAAAGGACAATTAATTTAGCTCTGGCTTAAACTTAGGATAATGAAAGGCTATGTATAATGCAGACTTCTAGGATTTCAGTGTACTCATTAAACTCTGCACAAGTGGTTGGTAATGGTTGTTATGGCTAGTAATGACACCTTGGTTTGTTAAAAAGGTGGAAGGGTGCAGCAGAGAAGACCATGGAGATATACAGTTCCGGGTCAGGTCGCCAACTGTTTACCCGTCCTCTACGTCAGGGCTCTCTCTATGATGAGACACCTATTATCGGTAAGAACATTCAATTTTCCTATAGCCTGTATATCTTTATTCTTTTAATGGTTTTGGTAAAATTCTTTATTAGGAATGATGTTAATAATTTCATCTTGGCTGAGGTTCTGTTTCAAATTGAGCTGTGCAGGATCAATGCATCTGAATGTTACCAAGTATTAAGCCATGACATGAGGAAAGTCAAAAAATCCGTTACTATCAATGGAGCATCTCAATGGCTCCATTCTTGTGATAGTGGCCAATGGCAAGGGTTTGGAAATGTACACGACTGTCTTTTCTAGACCCTGGAAATTGTATTTTGAAGATTTGTTCTTAAACTAACTCTTTGATGGGCTTCAACACTTCTACATAAGTAAACATTTAGCTTAAGAGTCTTCCTTACATAAACTCCAAAACATTGTTTGAAGAAGTTTGTGAGGCTGATATTTTATTTTCTATCAATCCGAACTTTTGAAAATTTCCCATGTTCACAGTGACAGCATAACTATGAAATGTTTATAATAGTATAGATAATTAATTACACAAATTAAACTAATGCGGAATCAAAACTTTATGTGGGACAGCGCAAAAAAATTTGAAAACTACTGAAATAGGCTTTTTGCACTGTCCCACGTAAAGTTTTGATTCTGTATTTTTGTTTTACTGACAAAAAGTATATTTTTGTAAATATTTTAGAAACAGTCCAGCCCACCGACTACCGGCCAACAGTACATGAGATATTTGGTCTAACGCCATCAACAAGTCTTTCGTCCTGCTCTTCCTCTTCATCCCCGACTTTTCGCGAGCGCTCACTCAGCTCCAGTGGCAGCAACAAGTCTCGCTCGGTACGCTCTCATTGGCCGTTCTCTTCCAGAAACAACGACTGATTTCTCTTCTCTTTTTTACACAGAAAAACCAAAACTCTCTTCTAGTCTAAAATGTTTGGTTTGTTTCAGTGTGTTTTGTTATCCGAGTAATTATAAAAGAATGAAGAAGGTTTAAATTATTTAAAACTCAGTGTACGTTTTAAAATTGAATACTTTAAAAACTAAATTTCCTGTTTTCTCGATGGAACTACAGACTGTTGTGTTTAGCGTGTTGTATTGTGTTAAAATATTCATGTTTATTTAGATATAGAGATTTTGAGAAATTTATAACTTTGTTGATTTAGTTCTCTACCGTAAGATTTTTACTGTCATGACATTATAAAAATTAGAACGTTACTCCCTATGTCATCTGTCTGAAAGTTTTCTAGTGAAACTATCATATTGTTAGTATCTTGTATGCTTTAAAGTACAAACTAGACTGAACCTAATGTGTCACCTTCTGATTGTGCTTTAGATTTTATGTTTTGTTACTTTTATATATTGAAGAAGAGTGCAATTATTTAAAGTTTGTTATTTAACTTATTTGTATATTTTGTCCATTTGCTCAAAGTGTGATGTCAAAATTAAAAAGAAAAATGTATATATAGCAATTTTGAATAACAGGAACTTTTTGAATCACTGAAATTAATTATTTATCAATTCAATAATACACCAGGTAGAGTGTTCTCAGTTACAGGTTAATAGTTGTCAGTTTCCTTGTCATGGTCAACTGTATGGTGTTTTTGTAACATAATACAAGAAATTTGTATGTTAAAAATAACTTGACCCTTTTCTTGGCAGTTTTCTTATTGTTATTGGTTTCTTTAGTTTAACACTATAGTTATTATAATTGTAATCAAGTGATTATTTATAAAATAAATCTTGCATTGTAATGAACAAATATAAAAACAAGTCTAACATTTTAAGTAGGGTACTGTATGCCTGTTGTCAATTAAATGTTGAGTCTACTATTTTTGGAATCATAATTAATTGATTTTTTGCTCTAATGAAGAAGAAACTGATAGTGTAAGAAGCAATAATCATTTGGTATAATGTTGTTTCTTTACGTGAAAATCCATAATGTATGTTAATTAACTGGTTGTATTTAGAATTATTGTATTCTTTTGATGGATTACTCTGTTTTCTATTTATCTATTTTTAGTGTTATCATTGCCTCTTCTCAGTATTAAACACACCCTCCCTCTATATTATTGAATTATAAATTCATATTCATAAAATGTGTTTGCTAATTACATATTAACAAACGTTCTAGATAGTTTTATTTCCCTTTTCATTGTTTGAGTATTATATTATCTTACTTTCATATGGTCAGTCTGGCATGGAACTGTTTTAGTATATAAAACAGACTGGGACGGGTGGGGTCGTCCTGTAATCCAGCTACTAGGAGGTCACGAATTGTGGATATAGGCATGCACTGTGGATGCGATGCTCCCTGGTGTGAATTAACGTCTGCACTAGTGAGTACTACGACTATCCGCAGTACTATCCTGATAGATAATAAGACCAATTCGTAAATTACAAATTACAAGGGAAAATGTGGTTCGGATTTCACTATAAACTGTAGGTCCCTTAGTTGCCATTAGCTGTATGGGCTATTAATTAACAGCTGTGTCTAAGGAATATGGCCTTAGTCACTAACAAGACTACAAGATCGCGCCACTCAATCTACACTCATCCTTCACTCATATTTGGGTTAAAATACGCACATAGTGGCGTCCCCATCTTAAATAATTGATAATTGATTGATATACAGTGGCGTAACAAATTTGTTCGGGCCCCCTTGCAAACTTATTTTTCGGGCCCCCCTCCAATGAGTTATTTTTAGACCACCGATACAACATAATCAAACACCATCCCCTTGCGTTTTTTTGGACCACCGACACAATGATCAACAGTTGTTTTATCATAAATTGAGTAGTAAATAAATTATGGGTAATGTTTCATAAAACTAGCAGAGTACCCGTCCTTCGTACGGGGTTGGCATATAAGTATCAAATGCTTATAGCAGTTATGAGTGAGGACATGGTTTAAGAAATTTCGGTTCTTTTTGAAGTTCGTTCGCTACGCTCACTCACCTTTAGGTTGGAGCTCGTTCGCTGCGCTCACTTTCCTTCAGGTTAGCTCGTTCGCTACGCTCACTTGCCTTCAGGTTAGCTCGTTCGCTACGCTCACTCGCCTCCAGGTTGAAGTTTGTTCGCTACGCTCACTCACCTTTTGCTGTTGTCATAAATGTAAAAGAAATAATAGTGCTAGTGCTGCACCCTGTTGGTAATCCTTGTAACTTTAATGCTATTGAACATCACAGAACAGAACAAACTTGTTTAATTGAAACAGCTGTTAAGATTCAATAATTTCATTTCTCATAAGGTTAACATGGGAAACTCCAGAGCCACTGGGGCGGAGCCCGAAAGGATTTTTGGGATAAAAATATGCCTATATGTTAATCGGGAATGTGAGCTATCATCATGCCAAATTTCAGCCCGATCCGACCAGTAGTTTTCGCGTTTACTTTTCCCATACACACACACAGACACCACCTCTTTTTTATGTTTCATAAAATGTCTTGGTTTGATGATAAAGTTACGTCACCACATCATTATATATAATCAATATCAGTGGTTGTAGGCCTAAATAAATAGTTTTAAAATAAAATCTAAATACCTTATTTTTATCCCTATCAGAATGTTTTATACAGGGTGTTTCAGAATTAGTGTCGGATATTTTAGGGTATTATTCCTGGGTAAGAAACATATCCAAATATCATATTTAAACAGTCTGGAAGTCTTTATTTACTCAAACAGCCGCCATTTTGTTTTTTCCTTTAATATTTTTTTTAAAGAGAATGGTAAAACATACGGAATTGAAACTTTGCACAAACATTTCTGACTACTAGGCAAAGCTACAAAAAAATTATGAACATTTTCCAAATACATAAACCAAAATGGCGGCCATTTAAAATTTTGTTTCTTAAATAACTCAAAAACCGTTGATTTTATGAAAGTTTTACAAGAATAACTTTTTTTAGGTAATTTTATTACAAATCGATTGACACCTTAATTTTTACAATTGAACGTATATTAACTGAGATATGGCAGTTTTAGTGATACGTGACTACTGGAGGCTAGTTGTAGCGCATGCGGAGCCATGCATTGTTGTGGCAGACTTTGGCCCACCGCATGCACTACAACTAACCTCCAGTGGTCACATATCACTAAAACTGCCATATCTCAGTTAATATACGTTCAATTGTAAAAATTAAGGTGTCAATCGATTTGTAATAAAATTACCTAAAAAAAGTTATTCTTGTAAAACTTTCATAAAATCAACGGTTTTTGAGTTATTTAAGAAACAAAATTTTAAATGGCCGCCATTTTGTTTTATGTATTTGGAAAATGTTCATAATTTTTTTGTAGCTTTGCCTAGTAGTCAGAAATGTTTGTGCAAAGTTTCGATTCCGTATGTTTTACCATTCTCTTTAAAAAAAATATTAAAGGAAAAAAACAAAATGGAAAGTTTTAGTGATATGTGACCACTGGAGGTTAGTTGTAGTGCATGCGGTGGGCCAAAGTCTGCCACAACAATGCATGGCTCCGCATGCACTACAACTAGCCTCCAGTAGTCACGTATCACTAAAACTGCCATATCTCAGTTAATATACGTTCAATTGTAAAAATTAAGGTGTCAATCGATTTGTAATAAAATTACCTAAAAAAAGTTATTCTTGTAAAACTTTCATAAAATCAACGGTTTTTGAGTTATTTAAGAAACAAAATTTTAAATGGCCGCCATTTTGGTTTATGTATTTGGAAAATGTTCATAATTTTTTTGTAGCTTTGCCTAGTAGTCAGAAATGTTTGTGCAAAGTTTCAATTCCGTATGTTTTACCATTCTCTTTAAAAAAAATATTAAAGGAAAAAACAAAATGGCGGCTGTTTGAGTAAATAAAGACTTCCAGACTGTTTAAATATGATATTTGGATATGTTTCTTACCCAGGAATAATACCCTAAAATATCCGACACTAATTCTGAAACTATATAGGTTTTATATACAAGTGCAGAAGGGCACGGTGCCCATTTGAGCCGTGTCCATATTTTGTTAAATTAATAGTGGTTTACAGCAACTGGATAAAACATTTTACAATATTTATGTAAAAATATGCGTATGATTTAAAAAGTCTTTAAGCTGGAAAACTGCAATATAGGCCTACTGCAGACTTTTCAGAGAGGTTACTTCGATGTATTCATTCAGCTTAGTGAAAACATAATAAAGATATGTATACAGTATACAAATAAGAACTTGAACTCTTAGAGAGTCTTTGAATGTTATTAGACTAACGAAAAGGGTTGTGCATGTTTACTAGCGCTATTTAGCAACAAAAACAATTTAATTTATCCCTAAAATATATATTCTAAAAGTGCACTGAGCAGCAGCCAAAAAAATCTATGTAACTCACCTATATAGTTACAAAATGCTTAAACTTGCATTGTGACATTTATAATTCGGCTTATATTTCTCCAACAGAAAATTCATCTGCAGAAGAATTTTATTGTGCTCTTACCGTGTCTAATAACATCCAAACACAGAAATCTTGCATAAAATGGTACCTATCTTGACAAATTATTTGCAGTGGCCTATATTACGGACCTTGTCCCACTGGGTTGGTAACATTATTGAAAAAAAACCCAACATTTTGGCTGTAAAAATGGCCCAATGAGTAAATACTATTTAAGTAGCTACAATCAGGACAGAAAGGTCATATTCCTTTTAAACTAGATCACATAATCCTTTATCAGATACGTTGATTAACAATACATGTAAAGGTAAATATTTACGTAACAGCCAATCTACATGATTTTTTGCTTTTTGGAAATGCCACATTGCTATGTCATTTGCATTATTTGTTGCCAATTAATCCGCATGACCATATAAATAAGGAGGCCCCTAACAGTTCAAGAACAAATACTAACTTCACTTCAAGTATATTCCACTACACCTAACATTCCGTAGAGAGATTATATTGACAACTTTATGTAATTGATAAGGCTGAGACAACTAACTGACATCCCCCATGTCAAGGAATTCCAACTTAAACAGTAACCCCACAACCAATTTCTCAAAACTGTGCTAGAGGGTTATTCATTGGCACAGAAGTACGACATGAACTGACGTGATGTGACAAAGGAAAATCAAACTTACACTGTAACTGATATACCTCCTTTTGAAGTTAGAACGTGTCTTCCCAACAAACCGATTTTTTCAATTTATCTACATTACACTGATGACATATATAATGAGAAAATCACAGTTTACTAGACAGTACAGATTGATATACCAGAAATGGATATTAAAAATACTAAGGTGGACTTGAACCTGAAAACATGTGCTAATATAACAGGATATATTAAACTATAACTATAACAGGAAAATTTTACACATGTGCAACTCACTGAAAACTATAGATATAACAATAAATAACATTAACTACTTACAATTTCGGACGTCCTACAAAGACACAAACACTAAGGTGTGGGAGGGGAATACGGAATTAGCTGAGCTTGTTTTCCAAAAGACGCAATTGAACGATTTGGTCAAACGAACGTGAATTTTCAATGGCGGTCTGTGTTTGCCGGTAAAGTTATGTAACACTTTCTTGTTCAAAAACTGATTTTATTCACACCACGCGCGGCAAATATATCCCTGCAGGATATAGGCTTAACGATTGATGGAAATAATATTGTCTGGACAAACACCGCGGATTGAATTTAATTTGCACGATCGATTTTCGATAGCTCAACTAATACACGTCGGAAGGGTAGAAGGAAACGACAACGACTAAGAGACTGAGAACCATCCATAGCTGGCAGGGCCGGACTTAGGACTTCAGAGGCCCTGGGCGAATTTGCCGATGGGGCCCCCAGTATGATTATACAAGAACATATACGGTACACAATGTAACGCATTTACATGCACACTAATTTTAAATAGCTAATTTCAAGGTGAATTAATATGTAAACCTGTTAGAATGCTGTATTTTGCATAAACTAATTGTATGTAATATTTTAAGTCTGAAAATAGCTACAATGTACGGTGTTATTTTATGATTTGTTCTTGTTGTAATTGTATTTATAAAATTTGAATATACCTAGCAGGTACCTTACACATTTTTTGCAATACATTAAAATGTAATATCCTTTGCAACAAATAATGAAAACTATAGATAAAATAAAAATAAAATAACACGTACTTG